ACTCTTTCTAAATGATTCATCCTTAATTTTATGGGTTCGCTTCCTCCCCTTGCCATGCAGAAAAATCAAAAGTCTTTGGTCTTCTACATGAAATTGCCTGCAGGAAATACTTTTATGTTCTTATAGTATGAGAATCTACATTATTCTAGAATGTACTTTTTGTACAAATATATCCTCCTCAGGAAATCTAACTCTTAATTGGGTTGGATGTTTGAACTAGCGATGGACTTTCCAGTCTTATAGTTCATTCTTCATTTTTTGCTGTAAGTGATAAATTATAATAATTATGCTAGAAAGCTAAACTGTCCACTTAACTAGAAATCGGTGGATTAACAGAGGGAACCTGTTATTTTTGAAGCAGATAGTGGTGTTCTATCACTGTCATTCCCAAAAAAGTGCAGAGTTTTAGTTTGAGAGAAAAAAATGGGCATGCACATTGATCTCTAAGAAAGGGTTAATATGGTGTGCAGTTTCACAATTTTTTTAAGCCAGTTTATCCATAGGACACACCATGTCCTCCTATCTCCCACACCTTTGGCCATGTATTCATAGCATTTCCTTTTTACCAGCTCCAGAAATCTTTTCATGCAGGGTAGGTCAGATCACTGAACTGATCCAACTAAAAATCAGCCTACAAAGACAAGTGATTAATTTTCATTTTAATCAACTATCTGATCTAACCCATAGCTGCCCAAACACTAGAGAAGAAATAAGGGAGAGCCTGGGAAAATAAGGGTGGAGAGGACAGTGCAGGATTGCTGCTTTGACCGCAGCCCACGGTTACACTGGCTTAAGTCTATCAATAAACCACGGGGTCAGATATCCAACAGTGATAATTTTACACGTCAGCATTAACTGTTCATTCCCTGCATGAGAAAAGAGGGGGTGGAGGTCACAGATCAACACATTTCACTTTGATTGACAGCTAGTTGTTCTTAACTTTTTCAACTTGCATTTCTGATCTTGGATAATGCTGCTGCTCTGTCACTCAGGTATGTGATCAGGGATTTGGTTTTGGTTCAGACCTTTCCTTAGGGTTTCATATACAGGTTAGGTTTACATCTTGCAGAGCTCTTCCACATGACGTCTCAGAGATATTATCTTTCTTATTCACACGGCTAAAACTCTTATTTGGGCTAAGACGGTCTTGCACTGTGATCATTAAAGCATTTTGCTTGCCAAACAGAATTGTATCTAGGGTACATTTATTCAGATTATTGTTAAAAATTATTTTCCTGTCATGTTAACTACACTGCGCTTTTCCCAGCGCAACTCCGTTGTTTCTGCAGTAACATGTTTTAGCAATTGCTGTCTTCTTTTTCTGAGGGCTGTTGTGACCTATTGCCGTTCTTCTTGCCTCAAATTGTGTGTTGTAGTATTACTGCTGTATTAGTCTCCAAATTGAACTTTCATACCTCTTTCCAGACTCTACCTCATGTTTGATATAGCGTCTTACAAGCCAGCTTATGCTTCTTTCACTCCTTTTTAGATTCTCTCTTGATACCTACAAACTGTCTGACAGTAGTTCAGTAGTAGGTCATTATTACTGTGCTGACCAGCAGTATTTCACTGCAAAAAGATTAGGGTACCTAGGTTGCATGATAACAATAGTGATAATAAAGTTTATAGTAAATGAACATTGATGTCTGAAATTTGTTGATTCTACTGCTGGTTTTCTAACCAAGGAGATGTTAGTCTGAAGAGCTAAAGAGAGCTACTGGATAAATGTTAACACTGCCGGGATGTAGTCAAGCTCAGGAAGCAAAATGAAAACTTTTTTTTGACAGAACTTGGGCTGACAGAACTTTTTTGCAAAGCCCAGGATCACAAAAATGCAAGTTACTATATCTATATCTGTTTTCTAGATCTGAATATTTTCATTTTCTACTGAAAGACAATGATGTACACTTTTGTTTGTAGTTTCAAGTGCATTATGAAAGCCAGGGAAAAGGAAAGGGTAACCACTACCCTCTGCAGAGGGTGGGCAGTTGGATATCGTTTGGCATGCAAGGTGTATTGATTTTTCTGAGGAATAGAGAGGGGGATACTGACAGACAAAAAGTTAAGGTTGTCTATTCAGACACGAATTTGCTATATTTGCAAACTATTCTTTATCTTTAGCTTGGCTACAAAGAAATACATAGGTGCCACAAATTACAGAGAAAAGATTCACAGCACCTTAACACCATGTGGTACGTTCCTGTTTTCTGGAAGTGAAGATGGAAAAGCTTATGTTTGGAATCCAGAAACAGGTAACTAATTATTTTATGGTCTTAAGCCAAGTTGTTAAGGCTGAGGGGAAAAAAGCTTTGTAAGCTTTATTGAAACACCTCTGATATGGAGTAAAACTTCACTAAGTTGTTATTAAATCCTGAAGCATTAGCCCCATCTTTTAAATAGCTATTATTAATCCCAAAGATGTAATTTTCAAGAGGAGGTTAATAGGCAGAGGTAGCACTTGTAGTATGCATCAGGAGTGGATCACCTGAAACTGAATTTTTTGTGTACTGCGATTCTTTACATGTGAATGAAGGTCCTAAAATGGGATGCATAAAAACGTTTTATGTCAAATCAGTCTTTCTGTTGTATTTTGGGGACTTAGAAATTAGATTTTTGTTGAGAACCACTTTACCTGTTTCCCCAGGATGATCAGAGACTATGTATTTTTGTCCTTTGGAATATATATTTTAGTCATGAGTTATTCCCCAAACGAAGTAGTTTCAAAATAATTACCAAAATCTTTCTGGAAAAATGTTAAGCAAATGTAAAATAAAGCGTTTGTCACCTTTGTTGTACAGTGAGGTCAAAGGGACAAGAATAACAGTAGAAGATAGCAAAAAACACTTTTTGGTTTTGGTGACATTATTTTCTGTCTCAAGTTATGATCTAAACTTTTTTTAAAAGGAAAAAAAGTAAGTATTTTAGAATTGGCAGATAAACAACAGTTCAGTTCTGAATATCTGTCCACATTTCCATCTATGTCACTACCTAATTTGTCTGAAAATTTTTAAAAAGTGTAAGGAGGGAGAAAATTTGTTACTAGTGTATTTCCACCAGGCTTTGATTCTTGCTCTTACACGCTGTACTTGCATTTATAATGTCAGCAGGTGAAGAGCTAATTTTATACCTTTTTTTTAATTATGTTCTCAACTTCCACTCCTGTTGCTGATATTATATAATTGAAATCCACAGGCAAGATAGATATCTCTGGCAATATGCAAGCACAAACAGATACTATGGAACCTGACTTTTCTAGAACTTGCTTATCAGAACAAGAGAACTCAGCTGATGCATCCTTTGGGGTTTCCTGCAGCTGTTGTAACAGCACTAACTTTTCTGACTTGTTCAATAACTTAGAAGCATGCGATATTTTTTGTCTTATGCCAGTTTCCCACAAGGAAATTGTCTGAAGTATATTTATTTACAGTGGCAGTCACTGCACTGTAGTAATGCAAACTTTAACCAACTGTTATTTTGCTGTATCAAATATGTTTCCATGATATTAATAACATAATTCTCTTCTGTAGGAGATCAGGTGGCCATATATTCTGAACTCTCCTTCACATCTCCACTTCGTGATGTTGCCTTTCATCCACATGAACACATGGTGTCATTTTGTGCCTTTGGTCAAACCCAGCCAATACTTGTATACATTTATGATTATAAAGGTATAGTACAAATTTTTTTGATAGACACCTGTAAATATTGTCTTTTTAGAAGTGATTTGCTAGTGTTTATATTTCTTTTGAAGGAAAAAGAAAACAGTCATTTGATGATAATACATGTCTTTATCCCAGGAGATACTAAAACCAAACTGGACATGATGCTGAGCAGCCTGTTCTAAGTGACCCTGCTTTGAGCAGGGACTTTGACCTAGCAAATCACCAGAGGTCCCTTGAAACTTCAGGTTTAAATGTTGGTTTATGTCATCCTGTATGATTTTTACAGCTATTATGTACAGGCAACGTCATACAAATATTTTAAAGCCTATTTTCAGTATCAAGGTGGATCATGGAGCTGGAAAATACTATCATTCTGAAAATTGATGAATAGCTTAGTAGAAATTCCAATATTTTGTGCTGGCTGTGTTAGAAAATAATGCTGAAGAGCTGTATAGAAATGAATGAGATAGTATAGAATTTTTTAATAAACACTTGCTCTTGCAGTGTAATTTTGTGACATATATTTATTCCTCATGTTGTATTAAAGAGAAGATAATGAATTTTTGACTGTCCTTTGAAGGCTTTTCTAATAATTCTGGTTTTGTGGTTAACTTTAGCAGTGTCATTGTTTCATATACTATATACTATAGAACATAGTTTCAGATGTCATGTTGCACCTAGGCAGTAGATAATGCAAATTGTGCAATAAATTTTGCATATCTGTAACAGATTTTTGTTAGAATTATATTTGCAGTGAACATAGATTTATAAAGCAAATCCTGTATTTATACATTTGCTTTTTAGATAACATGTAGTAATGAGTTTACTCGTATCAAATCTCACAACTTAGGTTATTTGTCCAATGAACTGGTTGATTTTTACAGGAAAATAAAGTGGAATAACTTTACAGGCAATACATGGTGCTAAACTTCAACCCAGTAAGATATCTGCATTCTAGAGAGCAATGAAAAATTTTGGGGGTGACAAGTTTCTTTAAAATGTTTTGATTGTTCAGCAGTCTTAAAAAAACTAATAGGGTAGTATAATATATATAATGTGTGTGTATTTAGAGATCACACAGGTATCACACTGGTAGTTATTTGGTATCATCTGACTTCTTAACTATGTCACTGGTAGCGGTAAGGTTTTGCATAGATTGCGGTCTTTTCTACATTGTCACTAACTTTTTGTTCCTTTTCTGGTTAAAGGCACACCCATTGCTTTCAGAAGATTATCTTACTGCTTTAGCATTGAAAGAGTTAATCATATAGTAATACTAATTTTAGTCACTGGCACAGTTTTTAAGACTCCAACAGTATGTGTTTTACATACACCAACAGGTTTATGAATATCCTGAACAAAAATTTGATGAAGAATCCTTTTAATGTTTGTTGGCTAAAGATCACACCGGAAAAAATTGCAAAAGTCAATCAACTTTTTCTTTAAATGACAGTAAGCACAACCTTCATCAAAAGTATCCTATTCTAGAGCAGGCTACATTCTAAGAATGCCTCCTGTGCCTGTGTTGATTTCGAGCAACTTGTGAAATTTTACCCAAGTATAATAAGCTCACTTGAACTAGACTCAGAAAAATGTTAAATCTACCTAGTAAAATAGCTGATTTGAACTCAGTGCAAGCTGTATAACTTTCTTGCCTTTGGAAAACTCCTTTCTCTTCCCTCCACCCCCTAATATTTCTACATGGAGAACGCTATAAGCAATACAAAAATACCTATTCTCTGTGAGAGGTTACTGAACACAAATAATAGAAGGGAGACATTGTGTTCAGGAAGAGCTTGGGGGAAATAAGGTAGTATGGGCAAAATTTTCAATTTTCCCCGTAGCGCTATTAGTATAGATTCTGATGGTGTTTGACTGAAGACAATGGCTGTCAAAATGACAGCAATCATTCTTTTTTTTTTTTTTCCCCATGGCAATGTAAATCTTCACCTGACACATTAATACTGGTTATTTCTACAGTTGCACAACAGGAAGCTGAACTCATAAAAGATCTCACTTCATCACTTAGCACAGCTGTACCAAGAGGGCCTCAGTTCTTGAGCAGTTTTTCTGAAATTCCTGTGCAAAAAAGTTCAGTGATGTCTGCAGCAGATCAGTTTGTCAGTGTCGCAAGAGCATCGATGAGAATGCAGAAGGTGAAACAAAAACTTGATTCTGTTCTGGTAAGTAAATTTAATTACTTTCTAGAAGTATAGAGTCTTCTCAGTCAAAGTTCATATTCTGGGACCGATATATGTGATAAAACATTTATATGTAGTCTTGGGATCTGTTCTTCAGAAATGAATACATCTCTACTGTTAATGCACTTATAGGTAACTCTTTAGAAAAGGTTAATCTGATAAAACTAAGTTACTTGTGTTTATCAAATATTGATGACAAAGGATGTGTTTTGTCAGTGCCCATTGCCACTCCTCTGATTTAGTCTATAGATTACTATGTGTGAGCTTTAGAATTTTTTTAATTTTTAAAATTTTTTTTTCCCTATTCACCTTTAGAATTGTATGTGGCATAAACGGCAGAGGTTTCGTAGCTGGCAGGGGCCTGCAAGGTTGACCTGTGTGCGACTGCCCTGTGCTGGGCACAGCTATTTTCAGCCACCTCTGTGAAGGACAAAACGGGCCCACCGCGTGACTGAAATTGGAGTCAAACAAAATCGCATAAGGCACCTCTGCAAAAACCTATTTAAGTAATGTCAGTAGCCACTAAGGACACCAGAGCAAAGAAGGAAATGCGAATTAAAACATGTCAGGAGACGCAGGTGGAGATACAAGAGGAGGGATGTGAGGAGACACTAAAGTGATGCAGGAGACACAAAACTATGTACAAATGGAGGTACAAGGGGAGGTAACGGAGTAGGTTTGAAGGGAAAAACAGGAAATGTGTGAGGAAGCACACAACACAGCAGGAAGTACACCTCTGAAGCGACTGCCACCCATGGAGGAATCCACACTGGACAGGTTCAATCCTGAGGGGATTTTGGCCAGTGGAGGACCCACGCTAAAGCGGTTGAAAGGAGTAAGAAACACAGTGAGGCAAAAGGAGCAAGCTGGTATGGACTAACCCCACTGTCCTGCACCACTCGTCCCTTTACCAAAGGGACCGAGTGCAACAATGGCAAAAGCCAGTGTTCGAAGTGGAGACAAACAAAGAGGGAGGAAAAGCATTTTAGTGTTTGACTATTTGTCTTGTTCCTCAATACTCGAATCAGTAATTAAAGCTTTTGTAACTGGCAATAAATTTAAGTAAAATTCTCCAATTTGAGACAATTTTGCCTGCAACAAGAATGCAGGATATTCCTGAATAGCACTGTGCAGTTATAATTACTGTTCACAATGAGACGAACTTCATTTGAGTTTCATTTTTTAAGTACTTTTCAATGCATATAGATTAATTTTTAGTGTAGCTTTAGGCTTTAGTAAGTAGTGAAGCACAAAAGGAGCAGATTAGTGGATGAAAGCGGTTGTTGCTGAGGATGCTGTAGCCACTCTCATCATGCTTTAGAGGCTTTACTTTGGATTAAATCTAGTCTGCTTCCCTGGCCTGGACATCCGCGTTAGGCCTGTGCTTTGAAACTGTCCAGAAGAAAGCTTTCTCACAGTCTGTTGCTTTCTGGAGCACGAGCTCCCTGCAGAGACACCCTTTATGAAATGCCACACTGTAGCTTGCATGGGTGGTGGTAACATGTTGATGCTGCCTTTAAGGAAAGCAAGCTTTGTTTCTCTTTTTCTGGTTTAGCAGAACTGTGTAGTGGTTCCATGGAACTATGTAGCTAGATAAACTGGATTAGTCCAGAGCTGTTTTTGAGAGAATACGCCACTGGAGTTTTGTAACCCTGGGTTCTCATTGCTCAGTGACCAGTTTGAGGTAATTTCACTGTGAGCAGTCATGATCCAAGGTTTTGGACAGCATCCTCCAAACCCTCTCTACTCATATATATGGGAGATATCAGAAAGGTCATCTGAGTCTTCTCACCATGTGGGTTTCTGAACAGTGTAGTATGACAGTTGAAAGAGTCCACATCCAGTCTGATGTCTGTCACATAGCAGTGAGGATTACAAAAACTGAAAGTACTTCCTTGCAGGGTTTTATAAACCACTGAGATACTGGGAGGAGATTTATTTTCATTGAAAGGGCTCTTGATACTCATCTTTTCAGCTATCCAACATGAGACTCGGGACAGTGAATACCACCTTTCAAGCAGTGTGTAGGTGCAATATTGCTTGCCTGCATTTATCAGAGATTCTGGACAGCCTGAGAGTGTAATAATCAACAGTAAAACTTAAAATTTCTACTAATTTTTAGTTGGGAATTACAGTTTGAGATGTGTAGGCATTTACATGCATGCGACTCTCTTTGTCGTGTGAAAAATGATGAATATATATATATGCAGGCTTTGCTGGAATGCCTGTTCGAATGTGTGCTCACATAAATGCTGTGCTTAAGTGTTTGTCAAAGTAGACTTCATAAACGTTGCCACTTGGCTGCATATGTGAGAATGTACTGATACGTCTGAATACAGACAAGTGAAAACAGGGAAAGGAGTCTTCATTAAGTCACACATTGAGTGGCAGACCGCTCTGTGGTAGATTGAAACAGGAAAATCCAAATGAGAATACAGCTTTTACCTTTTAAATATTTTTCTGACCGGAAAACAGTATAGGCTTTCTACTGAACTTTGGGTCATGTTTGCGTGCCAGTACCTTGTCATAGAAATGTAAGGAATGTCATGTTGGGACAAGCATGATGACATCATACCTTGTAGAGGTAAACCTGGCTAGAGGTCAGACCTGGGGTCACGTTTTATGAGACAAAAGTGCTGGAACCTCCAAACAGCAAATCTGCCAACACTGGGGTCTGGGTTCAATGTCTGTGAACTTAACTTAGCAGCATCTAATGGATATAAAATTAACTTCTAAGTATGAAGTTTAGAGGTCTGCATCTTAGATATCTGATTTGAAAATGTGATATGAATTTATTAAAATTTGTTTTAAGCTAGATAAAAATAAATAATACGAGTTTGTGTTTTTTGTGTTGTCACCAGTGCTTCCCTTCCAGGGAACCTTTTCTTCATTTTTCTTCTTTGCTACCTAAGCAGAAACCTTAGATGAAGTAGAAGATAGATAAAATTTCTTTTCTTCTTCTCTGCAGTATTACCATTCTTGTTAGCCCAGAAAATGTGTAATTAGAACCAAGAGTTGTATATTGGGCAAAAGCTTTAGCATTTCACAAAAGCTAGAATGTTTTGTTACAAAAGGTAAATATGGATTTCTCTATGAAACCAGAATGCAGAATTGGCTTCTTTACCACATAGAGAAATTACAGAGTAATCTTGGCAGCAATATTATTTATCTCTGCCTCATAGAACTAATGCTAATGTATGTTTCTCCTGACAGAAGCTTTTGATAGAGAAACACTCAACCCATCTCTAGTCACTGAAAGAATTCATAAGTGCTTTTCATTCAGTGTAACTATGTGTATATTTAAAATGCCACTTCCATCTAGGAATCAAAATACTTGTTTATAACTTTGCATAACAAGGGAGTGATATATATGGTATAGGTAGGGGGAGAAGGGCTTCCTTAAAAGGTATAATGTCCTAGCTATGAAACTGTGATTTTTAGATGTCAAAAACTTTCATGCTATAGTTTGAAGAAGAAAAATACCTGTGTAGTGCTTAAGTACAGCATCTGTATATACTCTGTAGTACTGGTCCTGAAATCAGTTATATGTTGACTGCCTTGGCTCTTGATATGCGAATACTTCTAAGTTAATTAGACATATGTTTAGCTTATCCAATCTTTACTTAATGATGTATTTCTGAAAAACATTATTAAAAGATTATCAAAGTGGTTATCAAAATCCTCATACTCAGAGGGTTTAAAGTGCATTATTAGGCAAGTAGAATGTAAAAGTATTCTTTCCTATGTATAGAAATACTTAGAAGCATTTTTTAGTTAGTTTGTTGGTTTTTTTTCCTTTGAGTTTACTATTTATTACTATGCCAGAACTCATGAAGGGTGTAGGTACTGTGAGAGAATCCAGAGGCTTATATCTCAGATTGCATCAGAAGTACTGAACTTCCATCATTAAGCTATATGACTATAAGGTATGGTCGTATATGATGCTGTCATGTAGTCTATATATAGATATATATAGATATACTATATTGTGTGTACTGTGCAGTCTTCCTAGATGGTCCTCTTTTGGAATTTAGTAGAGATGCAAAGTATATCTTGTGTGAAAACAGAACAGAATTTAAAGTCAGTGCTTTTCAGAAAAAAAATGCAACCTTTTTAGTGAACACATAAACATAATATTGATACTGTCTAAGCCATCAAGCGGAAGAACCTGGAAACTTCTCCTTTTGTCTGCAACGAAGATGTAGAGTCAGAGCTGGATGTTGAAGCAGTGTGGATTTTTATGCTACTGTTGTCAGTCTTCTAAGAGTCTGTCCTCTGGGTTGTCTTGCTTTTGGAAGACTGAAGTACTGTGCTTGGCTTCTGGGTTTTAGTGCAGATCAAGAAGAGAAAAGTTCTTTACTAACTTACTACAAGTTCTACCTGAAGGTGGAAACCCAGAAGACTGAGAACTCTTGTTAAAAAACTTTGCTAAGTCTGTGAATGTTTTTGGCCAAATACAAGGCAGTGCTGCAGTGTCTCGGAAGGCTGAAATAGCTTTTTCATTTGATCATGCCTGCAATGCAAAATTTTTATCTGCAAACTGTCGGAGGACATACTGATATTCTGTAATCTCATCTGTCATATGTAGAATATATTTTCAGTATTTGTAAAATGCCTTTTTCACTATGTTCATAGAATTGTCTTACATTTCTCTTAAGTTTTTCCTAAAGAAAACTTGCAAATGAATAGGAAGCCATTTTTTTTATACTGTGCATACTATGCTTGATTTTTTGCTGTTTTTTAAAGGCAAAAAAGCACTTAGTTTTATTTCTTATTAAAAACAAAACTGCAGCTGAAGAGTTTATAGAAAGATCTGTTTCAAACTGAATATGAGGTGGATGTTTGTGTGCTTCTACTTAGGAAATCCAGGGTGAACCCATATATTTAACACAGTAATTAATTCTGGACACCCCTTCTGAAAAATAATATAGTTAAATGAAAAGGAAGTTCAAACAAGAGTAACACAAATGCCAAGAACTACA